CTGCATCCAGGTGGCCCCTTGCCACAAAGTGTTACATGGCCCAGAATATCAGTAATGTGGAGGGTGAGAAACCCGAGAAGGACGACACAGGGAGTCTTCCACACACACAGAAGCCGACACTGGGTAACACAGCTGGAGCTGCTATAACATACATCACCCTGGGAAACTGTCATGCACTGTTTGGGATCACTGAGACGTTGGCTGGCTCTGGAAGCTGGGATGCCCCCTGCCCCCTCCCCCAACTTCAGACTCAAGCATGTTTAAATCAAATGTCCTCCAAGACCCCGGGTCTGGGGGTGGGCTGGCTCTTTGCCTCTGTGACAGGGAAGAATGAGAATGGCCTAAAAATGATAACACCATGTCCTTGAGAACAGTTACAAGGTGAACTGCTTCCAACGGAGGTTTCAACAGTTTATCCCATGGCATGGAAGTGCCTTCAGTGGAGTGAGAAGCCGGAAGTTCAGTTGAGAGAAGCTTCGCCATGGAGAGAAAGTTCAACTAGGAACTCGGGCTGGCGGCCTCAGCAGAGCTGCCCTCCTCCACCCCTGCTAGGTGTTCTGAGCACCCAATTTAATGATGTTTCAGTACTTCTCTCCTGCTAGTTAGTCTCTTACTTTGGCTGGCTGTATAGTTAATAAACTCACTTATTCTAAACCAAAGGTGAGGATGCCACAGACCATTCTCCAAGCTGTCTAGCACAGGTCCTGAGGAGGGTAGATTTTCTAGACAGAGAAGCTGGGGGCAGAGAGCGCTCAGGTCTCATTTTTGTTTAGGCCACAATATCCAAGCCCTGGGTGACGTTCCTGTTAATGGTAAGGACTGGCCCCAGACACCAAGGCCATCAGTCAGGACCCGGAAGTGGTGCTCTTCCACTTCGCTGTTATGGGGCAGCTCAAGTTGGTGACAGGCCTCCTTGAATGGCATTGTTTTGGCATCAGGAACTGTGGACATAGTTGAAGGTCATCGATCATTGTTTGGTATGGGCATGATTCCATATGTGTGTCCTTTTTGTTGTTTATAAAAATCCACTAGAGGGCATATCAATGCTAAATCTTCTGGCAGGTGGGACAAATGACATTTTGTGGGAACATTAATTTTCTGTTCCTGGGTAGTGAGGGGGACAGAAGGAGCGGATGGGGGCAAAAGTGAGGTTATTGATCCCTACCTCTCCCTGATTCATGCTCTGCCTGCCAAGTGGGGATAAGAGGGCGACTTGTGAATTCATGGAGACAGCCTGGTTTGAGTCTCCCAGAGGTGACAGGGACTTACTCTGGGTAAAGGATAGGGTTGGCTGGGCAGATTCTGGGGATGAAACTTCATGATGGTGGAATATTCTGAGAAGGGGCTTTCTCGAGTCTTCCATTCCCTTCTCTTCAGGAGTCACATCTCCAAGATCTGGATTGCCCTGCCCAGGTGGCCTTTACACTGACCCCGGGAGGAAGAAGCACAGCTACTGAGCCTATAAGGCAGTGGGTCTCAACATGTGGGTCTCAACTCCTTTGGGGGGGGGTCAAATGACTCCTTCACAGGAATCACCTAAGACTGTTGGAAAGCAGACATTTGTATTACAATTCATACCAGTAGCAAAATTACAGTTATGAAGTAGCAATGAAAATAATTTTATGGTTGGGGGTCACCACAACATGAAGAACTGTACTAAAGGGTCATAGCATTAGGAAGGCTGAAAAACACTGCTCCAAGGTCTCCAAAGGTTCTTTCTCAGCATAGGAACTGAGATCCCTTCTGAAAAGCTGCTGTATTTTGTATCATGCTCCCTGCCCCCATGGGGGTACCTTCTGTGCATACCAGCTTGGAAAGTTAGGGCCAAAGGGCATAGGGAGGACTGTCTAGGCTACAGACATGCTGGCATGCAAGGAAAAGGACTTTTGTTGCTTTGGTGCCTGCCTTGCCAGGGAGTAGAAGAGGGCTGCCATTTGATGGAGACAGGTGGGGAGAGTGAGAAGCAGTGGGCAGGAGGAAGCATGGGTGCCCTGAGCTCAGGCAAGAGAAACAAATGGTTTGCTGATGGCAGTAGGTCTGGGTTGAGCTGGGAACAAGACTTCTGTCATGCCTCATTTTGAATCTGGGCCCTGGGCATGCTAAGTGTCTTAGGGTTTCCATGGCTGTGCTAAAACACCATGACCAAAAGCAACTCGGGGGGGATAGGGTTTATTTCATCTCATAGTTTGTAGTCTGTCATCCTGGGGGTCAGGGTCAGGAGCTCAAGGCAGGCACCTGAAAGCAGGCACTGATGCAGAGGCCTTGGAGGAAGGCTGCTTACTGGCTTGCTCCTCAAGGTTTGCACAGCCTGCTTCCTTCTACACCCTGCCCAAGAGTGGTACCATCTCCATGGGCTGTGCCCTCCTGCACAAACCATTAATTGAGAAAACATCTCCCCAGACTGCCTATAGGCCTATGGAGGCATTTTTTTTTTCAATTAAGATTTCCTTTTCACAGATATGTCTATGTTTGTGTCAAGTTGACAAAAAAACAAAAAACAACCGGCAGGCTAGGCAGGCAGTATGTTGGGTGGGTGCTTTAAGGGTAAACCCCATCCCCATCACCTTAAAGCTTGATGTTTTTAACTTTATGCACACTCAGGATGGGAATCAGAAGGAGCATTTGCCCTTGGAGGGTTGAGGGCAAGATCTATGTTCAGATACAGGAGATAGCTTTTTCTTTCCCTACTGACACTGCCCAGAGGAATGTCAATATATTCATCCGCAAAGGGGACTGGGTCCAAAACCCAGCTCAGCCACTGGCATGCTCTGTGACTGGGGGGGAAAATCTCTCTGTGATTTAGTTTTCTCATTCAAATCATACCAGTTTAACTGAGATAATGCTTGAGAGTGCCCATCTCATAATATAATTCAGGACAGGTACCCCATAAATGCTTATCTCCCCTTGACAGTCTTGAGTCAATATAGTGACCCTTTGTAGGGCTGGGAGGATGGTTCAGCTGGTGGAGGCCTTGCTATGCAAGCAGGAAGCCCCGGGGACCTGCCATCAGTATCCATGTCAAAAACTGAAGGTGGTAGCACATATTTATAATCCCAGAGCTGTGTGGAGACAGACAGGAGAGTCCCTGGACTAGGCAGCAAGTCCAGCTGAATTGATGGTTCAGTAAGAGGCCTTGTCTCAAAAACAAGGCAGAGAAGAGGCTGATGAAGACATCCAATGTCAACATCTGGTCAGAGTGCCCACTTGGTCACCAGGATAAAGTTCAAAGACCAAAGAGGCTGAGTATGAGAGAGTCAAAGTAGCCACCAGGGCTACCTTGATGTCTCTTACCTGACTGGCATTGATGCCAGGGCAGATGTTGAGGGGTGACAGATGTTTATTAAAAACCTGCTGTTTAATGTTTTTTCTATTTCCTCTATGCTGGCAACTCAGAAATAATTAACATGAGTCTCTGAGTGCGTATGTGTGCTCTCTAAGAAAACCCTGACAGGGATTTATTTTATTCTTTCTTATGTGGATAGGTGTTTTGCCTGCATGTATGCATATGTACCACATGTGTGCCTGGTACCTGTGCAGACAAGAAGAAGGTATCAGATACCTCCGGAACTGGAGTCACAGATGGTCATGAGCTGCCATGTGGGTGCTGGGAACTAAACATGGGCCTTCTAGAAGAGCAGCCAGTGCTCTTAACCATACAGCTATCTCCCCAACACTCTGGCAACAACTTTAAGGTGCTGGCATGTCTGAAAGTCTCCTAGAACTGCTTAGAATGATTGCTTATCTGGGCTATCATGGGCGGGGAAAAAGGGAAAAGTCAGTAAGACCAATTTTGCTTCTTTTTATTTGTTTGTTTTTGCACTGATTTTGACTTTAAAAAAAATCAAAATCTATATTTAATGTTTTTATCCCAATTCCTAAGTGTTTTAGATGCACCCCCATCTTCTCCCAGTGATCACCTCCTTCATCGTCCTATGGTTCCCCTGGGTACCACTGTGATTCTATGTCAATACTTCTGGGTGGTCTGGCCTGGGCATTATAATGCTCAAAGATGCAGAGGTCACTGTTCATGAAAGGAACTAAGAAGCCCCTCTGTCAGTACTGGAAGAGGCTGGTTTCGAGGAGCCAGTTCTTCCTCTGCAGGGAAACAAGTGCACAAGGTTGCTCAGATCAAGTAGATGCCATGTGGTTACTAACATGAAATGGTTCAGTCTGCAAGCTTTCCACATTCCTTATCAGCAAAAAGAGAAGAAATCAGAGCGCTTACAGACTGTTGATACAGATGTAAGTTAGTATAACTCTTGGCCAGAAGTTTGGTCATGTTTACTTAATCTAAACATTATATATATATACCCTTTGACCCCAGAAGTTCCCTTGCAGGTATCCAGTCCTTGAGTGGCATTTCAAACATGTTAATCACAGGTTCAAACACTGCTGTGTGACCACTAATAGAGAAATGATTGTATACATTCTGGTTCCTTCATACTGTGGAGAACACTACATAACAATGAAGAAGTGTTAAGCTGGCTGGATATGTGTTGAAATTACCAATAGACAATAATAGAAATATCTGACCATCAAAAAAGAAGGAACAAGAATCTGCAGTTTGGCTCCTTTGTGTCCCAAGAGTGAGTATTTATCAAACCCCCAGAGCAAAGCTAGGTAACTTTTTATGCATGCAAGTGAATGCTCCACCTCTAACCCTTCTGTTAATCTCACCCAGGTTGGCGTCACTATGAAAGCCCTGAAATCCATGCTACAACATGCCATTGCTGTTAACATTACCGTTTGCAGTGCAATTATTCCAGATTTTAGGTGAGAATGTTAGTATAGAAACATCCCCCTTGTCACAAACGAAACACCAATCCCCAGAGGGTAAGGCCTCCCATCCACGTGTCTTCATTTTGTTCATTTTGTAGCATCGTCATGGGATTTCAGCGACCCTTTCCAGCTCCTTTCTTCAGGTGATGACTCTGGGTCTTGTTTTTCATCTTGAGGATATACCACATTGCCATTCACGTCTGTGTTCCCTGAAACCTATGAAGAGAAAGCAGAGGACCCCACAGGGGCCCACAGCACCAGGTTTGGAAACAGCCAGCATCACGTCACTTCCTCCCATCTTTCATTGGCCAGAGCTGGTCACATGGCTCCAATCTGACTGCAAGGGCATCTGGGAAAGGCAGGAAAGCCAATGGCTGTTTAGTGAGGAATTGACTGTTGCTGGCACCATAGGTGATGAAAAATATGGGTTAGACCTTGTCTTAGTTACTGTTCTATTATTATGATAAGACATCACGACAAAGGCAACTTACAAAAGGAAGTGTTTATTTGGGACTTACAGTTTCAGAGGGTCGGAGTGAATGGCCATCATGGCAGAAGCACGGTAGCAGGCAGGCAGGCAGGCACAGTGATGGAGAAATAGCTGTGAGAACACACCCTGAGATCCAACCATGAGGCAGAGTTAACTGGGTGTGGGTGGGCTTTTGAAGCCTCAAAGCTCTCCCCCTGTGACACACCTCTTCCAACGAGGACACGCCTCTTAATCCTTTCCAAATAGTTCCAACAGCTGGAGACCAAGTGCTCAACTATATGAGCCCATGGGGACCCTTGTCATTCAAACACCACAGACCCTTATGTTAATACCATCTTTTATTAGAGAAGCCAGACCTGGAGGCTGCTCTCTTGTCTCAGGGTCACTTGAGAGCAGGGACTTTCTTGTTAATTTCTGTCTGCAGCTCAGACCTGTTGAGTGGAACAAAGCTTTCTAGTGGGTCTTTCTGGCAACCAAACTGAGCTACGGGCTTTGCTCAAAACCTTTATGTTTTTATTTCTTTGCAATTTCCCTTTGGAAATTTTCTTTATTTTTATCATGATCATGATCATCATCATTATCACTATTTTGATTTTTTGAGACAGGGTCTCTCTATGTAATCCTGGCTGTCCTGGAGCTAGCTCTGTAAACCAGGCTGGCTTTGAATTCATAGAGATCCCCCTGCCCCTCCTCCCAAGTGCTGAGATTAAATGCTTGTACCACCTTACCTTTATTTTGTGCATGTGAGTGTTTTGCCTACATATTTTTATGTGTACCACATATGTGCCTGGCATCCTCAGAGGCCAGAAGAGAATGTTAAATCCTCTGGAACTGGAGTTGCAGAGGGTTGTGGATCTCCACATAGGTGCTGGGTGTTAAATCTAGGTCTTTGTAAGAGTAGTATGCACTCTACTCCATGGAGCCATTTCCCCAGCCCCCCTTGGAATTTTTTTTTAGCCCATTTACAATTGCAGAAAGGGATTGTTAAGATCCTGCCATCCTCCAGCTGCATGACTGCACATGCGCAGTTCAGTAGCTAAGAAAGGGGGTCTTATGACGTCATCCATGTGCTGCGTGATTATGTAACGTGTGCAGCGTGGTCAGGCAAGTAGTTCTGTAAGCCCACCTGTGCATGTGCAGGGGACTCCTTAAAACGCTGGACACAGACTCCTCCTCTCTCTTCCCCCCCCTCCCTTCTCCACAGGCCTGGCCACACTCTCTTCTGCCCCCCCCCCCCCATAAAAGCTCTGATACTGGGTTTTGTCGTACCTTGTGCCTCGTGACCTTTCTCAAATGGTAACCAGCGCAATTGTTTAAAACCAACAGGGATCAGATACATTTTGTGTTTGTCCTTTCCTTCTTTCGTCTCCTACACCTACAAGTTAGATCTTTGAAGAGTTTTAAAAGTAAATTAAAGCAGAAATATTGGTTAAGATGGACTAAGAAAAGACTCAGTCAAATAACAATAACGAAGAACAGAATTTTCCCTAGAGTTGCTGCTAAGATGGAAAAAAAAAATGGAAGAAATTCTAAGCACCTTGTTGCAGTCTATTAGTTTTAGCGTCTTACCTGTTTGCATGCACGCAACTCCAAGTACTGTTGTTAATGAAATGAATCGACCGCCTCTTTCTCTGTCTGAATTGGGAATGTTTCTTTAAAAAAAAAATCACATCACTAAAAGGAAGTATCTTTGGGTTTCTAAAGGTTTCTACAGAGTGAAGGTACAGCGAAGTACCTGGAAAGTGTGAAGACTGAATCACTGCATGTGTCATTAGAGTATGGTTTCTTCAGGGTCCAAGTTTGAATAATGACTCTGCTCCTAGATGCTTAAGGTCCCATTGGTTTAGATTGCTCAGTCCTATTAATTTTCAATTTTTACTTTGAATGACTTTAGATTTATACTCTCTGACTTCCTACCCCAACAAGACAGACTTTTAGGAGAAGGCAAAAGAGTTGAAGACGCGCTTGAGATCCAAGAAGATGGTTCTATAGAAATCAAGTGGAGCCCCCTCCGTGAAAGGCTCTAGAACCATCTTGTAAGAGTGGCAGAGAGAGTCTAAGGGCCAGAGGGTGGGGAAGACCAGACCAAAACAGTGTTTTCTAGACTCAACAGGATCACTGTACTCATGAACTTACAGCATCCATGGCTGCCTGCACAAGGCCTGCACAAGATCAAGCCAATAAAAATATTCTAGCATGGAGTGGGGTGGCATTTATGAGCCCCTACAGTCAACTGAAGAGCTGTTGACAATTGATGGCTTCTGGGGGAAGGAGAGTCAGTTTTCTTTAGGGGTAACCATGATAGGTTGACCATGCTCCAGTATATGACCCAACACTCATGAGTATATGGACAGCATAACTTGGACTCAGTGAGTTATTAAAAAAAAAAGAGTAAAGAAAGAAAAGAAAAAGACATGATGTTGGGATGGGGTGAGAAATGGAGTGTGTATCTGAGAAATGAATGTTATTAAAATACATTACAGGCATGTATGCAATTCTCAAGAAACAATCCCACTATAGTAAAAAAAAAAATCAAATGAAGTGTAGACGTAGCATTGTTCCAAAGATAGGAAAACCTGAGCACAGTCTGGGCCCGATGAATGGAAGATCAGTTTCCTCCAGAGAGGAAATGTATGACATGGAGCCTTAGTTCTTTCTGCGCTGCCCTGTGGCGTCACGGCTGTGGCAGTCCTCTAGCTGCTGTCCTTGTCTCTATCCTGTCCTCAAATGCCTCTACCAAATTAATCTTCTTAAAACTCCTTTCTGATCGCAGAGAAAGCAGGCTTGGCTTTCAAAGCCTGCTCTCATGGCCCCACCCTACCTGGCCAGCTTAATTTGCTTCTGTTTCCTGACACACACCCTCTTCTCCAGGCATGTCTGTCTCCTCCTCATCCCGTAAGCATGCCATCCATGTCTTGTTGATTCAGTGCATTTGTTCATGTTACTCGGCAAGCCTGGAATGCAGTCTTGGGTCTGCATCGTAGGGATTCTTGACTTTCTGCAGTGAATGGGCTCCTGGCTTGCCATTTAAAGTGTTGTGTGCACGGAGCAAATCCCTTTTCCATAATGCTAGTGCTTAGCTTCAGAAGTTTGTCTTGGTTTGTGATTCATCCTGGACTGGCTGTGAGCCCAACCCTTCGCTTTATATTTTTCTGTCTCTTAGTTGCTGCCAATCTATAAGCCAACACTTAAATCCTTCAAGGAAGTCCCATTAATAAAAGGAGCATGTTTAATAGAAAGCAAGGAAGTCACCCCTGCATTTTTTAAAAAAATGTTTGTTGTTATAAGCTTGGATTATTGCCAACTGGGTTTTCTTACAATGGGTTCTGCTTGTATGCATCCAACAACTTCTTTCCAATTTGGGACTCTTAGGTGGTTTGTCCTAAAGCCATCCTCAGGGTTTTATCATCAGCAAACCTTCGGAGATATTTATCTCCTGCCACCTTTGCACGGGCCTGAGCATTAGTCAACCTCTGAGTAGCTAGTGTACAAGAGGAGACTCTCCAGATACATTTACTAGAGACCTTGGGTTTACTTTGCTTGATCTTGATGAAAATGACTATTTTTTTGGAATTGATAATTAGTCCTTGGATCAAGGCTTTTTGCTGAAAGGGGGGAGGCAAAAAGGGTTGCTCGGAACCCCTGAGATTGCAGTTAGCCCAGGGAAAGATCATGGTCTGGTGGGGCAGGATGTCCGAACTTGGTGTGTGGACACTTCTCAGGACCAGCAGGAAGTGCTACAGGTAGGTGGCTTTCTGGCTTGGTTCCCTTGGAGCAGATTCTAGAATCCTTTGTGGATGGAATTGTAGGAGGAAGAAAGGGGAAAGGAGTGCTTTACTCTTCCTAGTGAGTGGTGGCCTCAAGGTAGCCATGTCTTATGACAGGACATGAAGTGGGGGTGGTGGGGGTGACGGCGGCGGCAGCGACTGCAGCAGAAGCTGTGACTTCATGTGACCTTCAAGGCTGGGTTCTCAAAGGCTTTCTCTTGGGCCTGAGTCACTGTGATGGGGAGAAGCCCCAGCCACTGTGGAGAAAGACTGCGTGGAGTGGTCTTGATGGCCACTGCTGAGGCCCTAGCCTGCATCCGACATCACCTACCACACATACCTTCAGATGAGTCAGGATCTCAGCCGTCAGGTCAGCTCTGCCCAGATCTTCCTAGCTAAGGCCTCAGCCCTGCAGAACAGTGCTCTGCGTGACTCTTAGAAAGCTTTCGAGCCCTGTAGTCCACAGCTTCAATGAAATTATATGGAGATTGTGTAGGAACTGCTGGATGTGTCTTAGTTTCCTTCCCTGTTGCTATGATAGAATACCCTGACCGAAGCACCTCCAGGAGAAAGGACTTATCCTGTCTCACAGTTCCATGGCGGGGATGTTAACCTAACACAGATAATCCCTAATAGCCATGCCTGGAGGCCGGTTGCCAAGGGGAGTCTAAATCCCATCAGGTTGTCAATCAGTATTAGTCATAATTTGTATACGTCTAATTTTATAATGACTTTCTTTCTCCCCCTCTCTTCCACTCCTCCCTCCCTCCCTCCCTCATCTGTGTTCATCCCTCCCCATCTCCTTCACTCCCTTCTTGCCTTCCTTCCTTCTTCCCCTCCCTCCTTCCCTCTCTTCCTCCCCCCCCCCCCCCCCGTTCTTCTCTAAGTCTGGGGAAGATTTGTTTTGCAGCAATGATAACTACTCTAGTGTGACAGAAATGACTTGTGGGTAGTGAATGGGTCCTCCGGAGAATGAGGCCGATATCACTCACAACAGTATCTGGTCTGTCTGAGAGCCCCTCCCCCAGTTAGGTTCTACAGATGCCTCTCGCAGGATCTATGAGCCCAGAAGTTCAATGGGAATAGAATAGGACGATTTTTGGGTTTCCATGGCTGTAATCTCTCAACCTAACACAGGGGCTTGGGTCGGGTCTGAGAGTCAGTGATTTCCCTCATGATGAAGGCGGGGTGGGGGGGAGGGACAGAGGGGAGCTGCTTCCCTCCTCCTGCCCTCTCCATCATCTCAGGGGCTGTGGGAACACTGATGACATGCGTCATGTTTAAGGGAGAGCCAAAGAGGCTTGTAAGACAACCAGGGGACAATCTTGTTAAATCATGGAAGACCTTGGTCGACACTTAAGATTCTGGAAAATTTGAATATATTGAGAAAAAAAAAAAAGAAATGTCCTCACCTTGGTGGTCTATGATGCTGATTTGGCTTTTAAAGGTAGACACTTCCCTACCCAGGAGGACTGTGGGACCCATGGCTTGTACCAGTTGTGGGCCTTAGCAGATGTCCATGTGTCTGTACTCTTAGCCTCTTCTGTCCTTCCCATTCCACACGTCAGCCAGTGTGAAGCAGGGAGGGTGTCATGCAACTGAACACTCCCAAATGCATCAGCAACTCTCTCGTCAGGTAGGGAAATGCATTAGACTTCAGGAGTCTGCTCAAGTAACCTGAGAGACTGCTGTGCTGTCCAATGGGCCTCCCAAGCCACCTCACCTGGGGCTCCAGGGCAGGCCAGCTTCTATCTCAGCAGCTCTAATACATGCTCCATTCTTAGCACATCCTACCCAAGAAACATTTGCAAAGAAAAAAAGATCAACATTTTGATAGTCTTCCTAAACCTTCATCCCTAGTATTTATTTTTTCCGTTTTGACAGACTTACTGAATATATAATTTTGTGTCCTGTTCTTTTTCTTATTGTGGTTTCAGTTGTACTTTTCCTGTAGAAACACAATTTTAGATTTGAGTAACAATGATAATATATGTTTTGGTTTTTCAAGACAGGGTTTCTCTGTGTAACAGCTCTGGCTGTCCTGGAACTCACTTTTGTAGACCAGGCTGGCCTTGAACCCTCAGAGATCCACCTGCCTCTGCCTCTCAAGTGCTGGGATGAAAGGCATGTGCCACCACCGCCTGGCTTTGATAATAATATCTTATTACATAATTACATGCCATATTTTATTACATGCATAGGGCATGTTTTCTTACCTAATTCTTTCCATTTGAAAGGTGAGTGTCATGGCCCCTCTTTTACTGAGGCTGGTTAACAATAATCAAACAATGGAGATTAGCTTGGTCTCTCTGATTCCAACATTCATAGCCTCTCTCTCTGTTTCTTGTGACACTTCTCATCATTTTAAGTGACATCACACTACCTGTATGCATGCAC